CCTAGTGCCACAGATCTCCAGTTATCGAAAGTAATGTGCCAAAGCACACGAGATGAGAAAGCCTTGATGAAGGACAAGCTTTACTGTGTTGGGATAGGACGTTTGATGTATCTCATGCTGGGAACACGATCGTATATCGCTTATATGGTGCGAGAGTGTAGTCAAACCCCTGGAATTATGCATTGGAGAGCAGCGAAACGTGGTCTTCGCTACCGTAAAGAAACATTTGACATGGGGTTGCAACTTAGAGGGGCTCAATCAGATCGGCTACTGAATCAACACCTTGTAGCATTTGCAGACGGTGATGTTGCAAACCGAGTAGATGATCGAAAGTCGGTTGCTGGAGTTTTGACGCAAAGTTGTGGAAGCACGATTTTGTGGTGCAGCCAAACAGAAAGGATGGTTGCTTTGCATGCTTGCGAAGCTGAGTACATAGCCCTCAGTCTTCTTGTTCAGGAAGTCATTCATCTTCGCCAAATGCTTTGTGGGTTGAAGGTCACTCAACGAGAGCGGTCGAAAGTTTATGTGGACAATGAGAGCGCTTGGAAATTGGCGAACAATCCTGAATTCCACAGTAGAACGAAACACATTGATGTGCGACATCATTTTGTCCGAGAGCAGATTGAGAAGCGACAAATTGAAGTGAACCATATTGCTGGAGTCAACAATTTTGCTGATATTTTTACGAAGCCTTTGCCCCGAGTTAAATTTGAGAAGCACCGAAGTACGATGGGGCTATTGTCGCGATTGGAGTATGAAAACCAGGTAGGTAATTCCAAGTGTAACGAAGCCAACCAGTAGGTGGGGCTGTTGTGAATTACTGGTTACCTTGTTGCTCGCACAGTTGAACTTTTATTCCTGAGGTTTTATGCCGTAGTGCTTTTGACCTACTGAGGTTTTGCCAACGTGTTGCAGTGAGTATTGGGAAAGGTATGAGAAGGAAAAACGTAAGAAAAACAGAAAGAATTCTACTTGAGAGAGATACACTTGGTAGCAAGAAGCAGCCATCCACCCAGTCTTCTCCACTTGACTTCTGATGTTTCCTGAGTTACTACTAAGCTGATTCACAAAATGTGCATTGTGATCACGAATGTACTGGATAATCTTAGCACCTTGCTTACGGATTCCAGTAACAAATGGCAACACATAGACATCTTCGAGCAACCGACTCAGGACATGCGCTGCGCATCCTGCTGTAGATATCGGTCTTGAACCTTCTAGTATCGTGCATTCCCTTATCATATTTCATGCGTTGTCCGTTTAAAACGCTAGCCACTATCGCACCTACGTGCTACTCAACGTCGTCAATCACACATCTCAGGTCTTGTGCAATGTATTCTCAGTATGTTGCTTCGTTCCTGACGGAAGCAGTGATCAAAACAAGGGCATCATACCGAGGGTTACAACGTTAAAATTGATTGTGCATGCACCATTAACACCCGTCCATATCTACGAAACAATGGTTACACCACGATGGTCTTTGCTATTTTCGTAGTGTTTCTTGCGGCACTCATCACGCCGCGCCCTTTCTAGTAGCGGTCATGCTAACTTATGCCGAGACGGGAATTTGACAGTCGGATTAAGCAGCGAAACCGATGCTCAAAAGGCAGCATGATCGTTCAAAACAAACCGGGAAGCACACATTTAGAACATGCTGGCAAGATCCATTTTAATCTTGTCTTGACCGTATGTGTCGCAACTTGATAGGCGCTACGTCATTATTTGATTGAGCAGTAGGTAGACTCTGCGATGGTGGTGGTGGACTAAATCGATGCTTTACTGCGGGAGGAACACGTTCAAACGCGCCAAGCGTGCTATCATGTTCTTACCCAGCTGGTAGTAGTGCAAGCTACTCAAAGAAGTACACGCATTCTGCGTCGGGGTGTGAACTCTGTGTGAACCTCCGGAAGCCCTCCCAAATCGGACCAGGGGGCCTTCCAGGTAGAAGTGCTACACGTCATGCAGACGTGGAGACTGCGAGATGCGATGTGGTGCTTGAAGGCTTGAGGGCCATCGCGGAGATAATGTGTTTCCGCACTGTGTGTTGTAATTGTGGTTGAAGACCAAAGACGAAATAAATTGCTCAAATCCTTGTCGATGTGCAAACTGCGATTACAATGACATCCCGAGTAATTTGAAGGTATTTGAATGCTCTCAAAACATTATTAACTGTCTAAACGTTGTTAACAACCAATACGCCAAACCACCACTACTACAAAAACCCCACAGAATGACCAGTACACTCTGCAAACAAAAGTTTGACGTGTTATTGCCGTTTAAGTTTCGTATTGTTTGCGAAGTCTTTATCCACCTTTGCAAAATCCCACTTGCTGTCAGATAGATATCGTTATGCATCTGAGCCTTGCGTTCTTTTTCGGGGCAGAATTCTTTGCGTACATGTTGCCATGAATCTTTCCATATTTCAATACATCTTTTGCACATAATTAGAAGCTATGTCAGTTCGTTGAAAAACCATTCTGTTCTCCAAGTGCTGAACCATTAACGGATAAAAACAAGAAAGAAGTATCTATTTGGTTGAAACATTCAAGCCCAAAATAACCGGGTATTTCTTCATCTACAAAGCAAATTTGAAATTCGCATTGAGTACAAACTTCAAATTAAAATTACTTGTGGTACTATTCGCTATCATCCGAGGTTGCTGGGGTACTTCCGATACGTCCTTGGTGCTACATAGTACTCGAAACTTGAACGGCACCACCTTCATACTCGATTACTTGCGTTTATTATTCCACACCTATAAATAAGATCGGTTTTGAAGTATGTATGAAATGCATTGACAACAAACATAAAAAGGATATTATTTGAATGTGTGGTGATACTATACTGATGTACTCAATACCAATTTGGAATATGACATTTGTTGAACGAATGTCAGTACACATCGAATCAAAGTAAACTAAAAAATATCACAGTACAATGTATTCACAGCACGCTACAAGTCGTAAGTTGATGTCTGTTATAATTGTAATCTCGGAATAGCAAGATCTATACAGAGTTCATTCAATATTGGAACACATTAAAGTACCTGAAAATCAAATTTGAGGAAGTTTGTCTGCTTGATTGTGATTTGTTAACAAAGTGGCGTTGTGCACGAAGAAACTCTGAATTCAGAACATGTTAATAATACTGTTCCCCTACGTAGAATTCGTCGCAGCAAAGCGTTTAAGCTGGTTTTCTCGAGCACCAATCACGATGGAGTGGAATACTGAAAACCTGATAGTGAGAAAAGGTCGAGCGATGCATAGACTTCACTCGCGAAACGGCAAACGTGAGGAAGCAGTGTCTAACACTACATACGACAGTGACCACTGTCCCAGATGCGGTGTCTCAGACCAAAACGGAATCGGGAGTTGCGAGCTTCCAGCAAGACGCAGGAAGCCGCGATGAGGGTAGCGCCGTCGTCAAAAGGGAGAAGGCTAATGACAAAAAAGCCGTGGCCGCCAGGGCAGATGCACTCCTGGCTCCACAACTTCAGGCTACTCTCCAGAGTGTGAACGCGGCAAAGCACAGAACGAGAGCAGCGACTGCAGTACCTGCAGCGACGAAGGTCGAAACAGGGACCTAGGCAACGAAGTCCCCCGCGCCTAAGTCATCGGAGAACGCCGAGGTGAAAGCCAAAAAGGTGCATCCAAGGCGCGTGCGTCCAGGAAGGTTCGCCGTGGCGGATATCTATCCGACTCAGGCCCGAGCTCAGATGACGACGACAGTGACTCTAGCCCTGACGACTAGAATAGCTCTTTCGGGGAGCCGCTCAGTGACCTGCTTGTTCCCAAGACCACCCCGGGCGGCACCATCTCGATGCCTATCGGGTCATTCGTGACTGCGAGCTCTCTGGATGATCGACGAGAAGGCTTCCCTCTCAGAACGTAGGAACGTTTTCAGACGTTGGTATTTCAGGGCGGATGAAGCGGCAAGATGAAAGTCTATGGCCTTCGCCTGAAGTAATCTTCCTTGGCGAAGAATTGGTGTTCGCATTTATCTCCGCATGTGCGTCGCGATTGGACAAGGTTATCTAAGGAGCCCAAGACGAAGTATTGCAAGTCAAAGATTCCGACTCAGAGAAGTACTACACCATGAAGCAACGCAAGGTGGAGACCCCTGGATTTCTTGTACCGCCTGAATGCTGCGGTTGACCGCGCTGACATTCGTTACAAGAAGTCTGAGCGACGCAGTGAACAGCACGTCATGGGGTTTACACATCGACTGGTGGATTCACAGCTGATCAACATCCTGAAGAGTCAACGCTTTAAGAGCATGGATGACCAGGGGTATGTGCTGAAACAGCAGGAGGACGATTGGGATGACGAAAGTCAGAACACTTCGTCCACCAAGGCGCGGGACTTCAAGGCAGACAACCTCCGTCAGGGCGACTTAAACCCAAATACCCAGGACGAGCATACGTTCATCAGAACGGTGACGAATCAGACTGTGATGAATGACATGTGATATTCGGGGATGAAGTTTCGGAGAGTCGCACGACCCAGGAAGCAGCCGAGCCTCTGGAAGTGTCCGTCGAAACTCAAGTCCCTAACATATCCATGGAAGAATTGATTTAGCGTGTGCTCAAGGTCGTGAAGAATTCAGGGTGGAGCAAGCATGGGAATATGGCGCCTAAGGGTTAGGCCCGTCAGAATTACGGACACGCAGGATGGCCATCACCAAGGTATGACAATCCTGATCGGGACATGAGTTGTGACGCCTGCTATGGCATCGGACATCGCGCTGAGAATTGCTGGGCAGATCTGATCTGCGAGAACTGCCATCGCACCGGACACCCGACCCAGCTTTGCAAGACTCTGCCATGCAAGAAGTGTGGCAAGTTCCATGATGGCCGCTGTGAAGATTGGGAGATGGTGGAGTCTATCGCCCGATTGGCCCGCAATGGCATCGTAAAGGGCCAACTCACTCCAATGCTGGATCGACTCCTGGCTGTTAAGGCTGATCCTGGTGACGGGTCGCTAAACCACTAAGCCCGCTGGATGGGGATCCAGTACGCGATGGGCATAGTAAGACCCCACGATTGTGGCTTTAGTATATGTCGGCCCCGAGTTGAGAACCAAGAAGCGAGATAGCCAAGAATGCATGACTTCTATGTTTCAAGATCCCGTGAGTTCAGGATTAGGCCCTTCTGGATTACTTCATTCGGATGGCACTTACCCAGAGTTCCCTGTGGAATTCCGACTCCGCGATGGAGAACGTTATGGATGGTGGACTACACATCAACCAGGGAAGGACTAGCGTAGCTCAAGCTCAATCGACAAAATCAAGTCTAGGTGTGGTATTCCTACTCAGATCACGGCGAGTGCAGAAGTCAAGATCACACTGGGATCCTGGATGGTCTAAATCAAGGGAATTCTGGGTGGCCAACACTGGTGAAGGATTCCTGGGTAGCCTAAATTACTACCACAAATTCATCGAAGATTATCCCGTGATCGCAGCCTCCCTGTATGAACGCTCGGACGACCAAGTGCATTGAGGGAGAGATTTGTCCTGAACAAAGCAGTCGTTGTATTCCTGAAGCGCAAGATCGTGGCGACCCCTGTATTGCGGCACCCTGATAGGTCCAAGCCGTTCGTCATCATACCCCATGCAAACCCATGGGCTGCCTGTGCAGTCATGGGTCAGGAACACGGAGGATAGATACAGCCAGTGCGGTTCACAGGGCGCGTCCTTCACGATGCAGAATTGCGATATCACATTGCCGAGAAGAACGAAATTCGACTCGGTGAAATTAGTACACGTCAAGCGAGATTTTAACCAGGCGGCAGACTATCTGACCTCCAAAACGTTGTTGCTCGGAAGATCCTGGCGTGTCCAGGAGGACGATGAGCGTCAACACCTGAAACAAGTGTCTAAGATTTAGGAGAAGTTGAGGAAGTCATTAGAGCCTCACCCATTCGAAGATCATTCAGGGCTGGAGGTCATACAGAATGAAGGAAATCGTTTAGACATTCCTGGATGTCCCCATGTCCTGGGTGCCATGGCAGCTCCGTTGCCGTATGCGGCCAAAATCTTGGTTGCCGTGACACGAGCTAGTGACCGAGGCAGACCGGCATCATCGGAACCACTCGATCCTGTGGAATATCAACGTGTGAGATGGCGGGGGATCAAGGTGAACCAGGAACAACACGCATGTCTGTATGATTTAAATGAGACTTCCTCAATGGAGAAGTTGATCGTTTCGCACCTCGCCAGTTGCGAAAAATCGCCAAGGTCGTAGGGTTATTTGCCATGGACGCCCGTGGTGTGCTGTACCGGTTGGCTCAGTCTACACGCGGTAGACTTCGGGACGCCCATGATGAACGGCGTCTGGTGGTGTCAACAAACCTGAGGGAAGCCATCCTGCACTATACGCATGAGGATGTTCAGGGCGGACACCAGGGCGTCAAACGAACTCATGAGAAGTTGCGTTCTGAATGTTACTGGCCCGGGAGGTATGCAGATGTGGAACGACATGTCAAGGAGTGTATTGATTGTGCAAGTACCCATCCAACCCTGGCCCATCTCTGGAAATATCGAGCCAAGACGACTATTTGAAGTGGTCTCGATGGATTTCGTCACGCACATGTCGAAGTCAGAATGAGGGGATAATTTCCTTCTCTTGTTTCAGGACATGTTCTCACCACTCTCTATGTGCAAACCAATGTCATCCACGACAGCTCAGGATGTAGCAGAAGCGTATGAAGAGCGGGTGTTCAGGATGTTTGGCGCTTTAGAAATGATCCGCCAAGATCAAGATCCGAGATTCATGAGAGAATGGTTCACGCGGTTCAAGGCTCCTGTCGACCTAGAGTCCTCGGACACCCCGCTATCAGGTAAGGATGCGGGAGTTGGTGACCGAGAACCCTCGGCCGAGGCCTCTGGAAGCGAGGAAGGCGACGCAAGAGGTGGAGGATGAAGCTGTTGGACATACAGCAAGGAGATGGAAGATTAGCACCATCGAAGACGAGATAGTGACATACCAAGAGGTGACCACGCACCAAATCATCCTCAAGAAGGGCACGAGCCGCCGCAGCCAAGGCATCGGCCAGGGCACGTGATGCAGGCGACACGGCGTTGTCCATGGAAGACGCCACGACGCTCACCAGTTTGGAAATCTTCCGTCGAGGCGGGGGTAGTTGTGGTGAAGCAAATCACAGCTTCGCAGACCACTGAGCTTTCAAGGTCAACTGGCGCAAGAGCTTTCAGAGAAAACTCACTTCGGATCATGATTGGTCAATTATACGCCCTGCGTCCTAGTGACGGGATCAATCTTAGGGCCGTCCGAGCCCTCGGCCATCCTAATATAACCTGGCCGAGGATTATTCCGGGTTATCCTAAATTAGGCTTCTATGCCTTATTTAACCGAGTGCTCGTTCAAGTGAGTCCTCGGTCAGATCCGGAATGATGGTGAGTTCGTACCTACGTAATTTACGTCGTAAACTCTCGGTCGGTAGATGTCGGTAGAGAGAGCCGGCTGGGGATTGTCCCATATGATCTGTTTACACTTGGTTTTAGTATAGGAGTAGGACTTATCGGTAGATAGGCTGTAGAGTGGCTCACATTAAACAGAAATAAAAAGCTGTTCTCCGCCACAGCTAGCAAGGGTCAAGTCCGTCTTTGGTAAGTCTAGCTAGCTTACCTTAGGTCAGGATACGCCTGGTTGTGTGGATACCTGTTGATAGACATGAAGTCCATTGAACCAAGGGTCTGTCTGCTAGGTAAGGCCAAGAGGAGAGTGTGGCCGTGTATAGAACGTTAGCGAAAGTTCGTTCAATGTGTATTTGTGTGGACAGAGGGTTCTCACATACACTAGACTTCCTACCGAGCATTCTCTCGGTGCCCCTGTACTAGGTTTGCGAAAACCGGTACCCTTCTTCTGAGGGAAAGCAGCGGGTTTGCGCGAGAGCGCTAAATATACCTCCTAGTCCTCGTTCGTGGCTAGGTAGGTTTCTTAAGGGTTGACCGAAGGCAACCCGGGGTATACAGAGGCTAGTCCAACCCGGTGTAAGGGATCGTTCCTGGTCTTCAGGTTTTTTAAATCCAACAAATCACTAACCTTTGCGGGGAAGTGTGTGTTGTTGGTAGGAACTCACCCGAACGTGAGAATTCTATCGTGTCCTACACGACAGTGGGCCATCTCAGGTTGATGAAACACTTCGGCTGGAGCAATCCTACTTGCTCTGACCAATGTCAGTGTCTTATTTGGCTTAGGCATTCTCCTCAATTCAAGCTGACTGCGCTTCTGTAATGAGTGGCTATATTCTCACTCTTCGATTTTTATTTGACTTATAGTTTGTAGCCCGAGCTATGTAGGTTCCCGTTTGCATGTGTTAAAACTTAATTAGACCTCAATTTGTTCCGAAGGACGAAGGAGAAGTCACATCGGTGAGCGTGCAGGCTTAGCACGTGTTCCGGCATC